GAAGTTAGTACTGAGGACATCAGACAGAGCTATGGAGTTAGTACTGAGAACATCAGACAGAGCTAAGGAGTTAGTACTGAGGGCATCAGACTGAGCTAAGGAGTTAGTACTGAGGGCATCAGACAGAGCTAAGGAGTTAGTACTGAGGACATCAGACAGAGCTAAGGAGTTAGTACTGAGGGCATCAGACTGAGCTAAGGAGTTATTACTGAGGACATCAGACAAAGCTAAGGAGTCAGTACTGAGGACATCAGACTGAGCTAAGGAGTTAGTACTGAGGACATCAGACAGAGCTAAGAAGTTAGTACTGAGGGCATCAGACAGAGCTAAGGAGTTAGTACTGAGGACATCAGTAGAGCTAAGGAGTTAGTACTGAGGGCATCAGACTGAGCTAAGGAGTTATTACTGAGGACATCAGACAAAGCTAAGGAGTCAGTACTGAGGACATCAGACTGAGCTAAGGAGTCAGTACTGAGGACATCAGACTGAGCTAAGGAGTTAGTACTGAGGACATCAGACAAAGCTAAGGAGTCAGTACTGAGGACATCAGACTGAGCTAAGGAGTTAGTACTGAAGACATCTACTGGTAACTTGTTTTTAACAGCAGCCTCAGTTTCACACAACTAGAACTTGACAGTGAGTGGCAAATAAAAATAACACTCCATAAGTCACACTTTTTTGTATCCTCAATTCTACACTCATTGGAAACAAATAGTATTTACAACTGATTGGCTGATACATATTTATCAGTTTGATTCAACACATAAAAAAACATGTAAATGCCTGTATATTTCTAGGATATTAGCATACATCTGAGATTTATTTGTTATGAAATTATAACAAACTCATAATTTGGATAATAATTTTAATGATCAGTCATAATTAAGAATATTTTATCAGAATAATGAATCATGTTTTTCAGGGGCACCATAATCACATATCGAAAAAAAAGTCAGCCTAATCAAACCTTAGTAAGAAAAATAATAAAACTATCGTGACTTACCTGTCAATAATATCATAAGCTTCCTGAGACCCCAGTGTACACAATGCACTGATGGCAGCGTATGTTGGAGCTAGATGAGGACATTGACCTGGACCCCCTATGTTGAAGTAGAAAAATAGATTATAATTATCATAAAATATCTACTAAAACATTTTGAAAATGTATCAAAGATATGTTGCCATACCAACAAGTAAATATATATACATTCAATTACAAATACATTTATAATATCCATCCCAAAACAATACACAGTTAGTATTAATTTAATATTGATAATAATGATGACTTTGCATATTTGCATATTATGTCAACCATAGGTAAAATCATTTTAACATTGACAAAATGAACATCATTCACTAAAATGTAATCAAAGAAGATGGAGGGTGACCTCAAACTTTTTTTAAATCAAGAAGTACAATTTATTGCAAAATGAATAAATTCTGAGTACTTTTATTTATGAGTATGCTTCTTCCTTTTTTTACAAGAAATACTCCTGTGTAAAGTGAATTCAATGTTCTTTGAACTAACAACTAACATAAAACCTTAGCCTTAGCTTTGCTCACACTGTTTTATAATTTAACCCAAACAGATTCACATGTACAAAATAAAACAAGCTGAATAATTAATATTCACATAGTGTCAGATATTCAACTAAACACACAGCATGCATTAAAACAAATTACTATTATAATACAGATAAACAAAATGAAAAGTCAATTACTGTAAAAATACATTATTTTAGCTGTAATTAATTTTCGATGAAAAGACATTTTGGCAATTCAAAGTTTATTTTCAGTGATCGTTGATGAATTGAAATGTAAAATAGAGGAAAAAGGGTATTTTCAAAGCATAAAGTGAAAATATTTTACAGTAATAGGCACAAATGATAACAGAGATTCATATGTACAACAGTACAATGTGTTGCCAAACAATCATCAGTCATGCAACTACACAAACAGTATTCTTGTTACTAGGTATATAAAACATTTATGCAACTGTTAAAATATCATGCTGAAAACAGGCTGAAAATAGTTAATTATTATGCGAATTAGATCATTAACATATTCAAATTAATACCAAACTAGTGTTAGACATTCAACTACACAAATAGTATGCATTTGACCATTTGAGTAAACAGTTAATTATAGTAGTCAATTATTATGCAAATTAGCTAATTAATACGCAAAGCAGGAAAATCAAATTAGGTCTGGAGTTCATCACATATCTGTGATTTATCAAAATTTGACACGCACATCCATCCATGCACACATCCATACAGACAGACAACTTAATGACATAAGCCTCATTTGTGCTTGACACACAAAAGCCAAAAACGAAAGGAGGATTCATGAGCAGATGAGTTACCTGCAAATCCACCATCTGGATCTTGGCATCTTTTAAGAAATTGTACAACCCTGTAAAAATCATTATTAATAGGATTAAAATTACCTACACGAGTAACACATCCTAAACAGCGGATGCCAGCATAAGTTATGACGCTATTCACATGTGTTTGATTTAAACGGCATTTTGAATGACATTGTAACCGGCATTTACATTTACTTATTTCAAAATTGCTCCTCACAACACATGTCTAAATTTCATGCAGTTTAGTTTGTGATACAGATGTGTACATGCCATTTGGTTTGAACATGTCCATATGTATGTACATTAGTATGACATTTAACATGACCAAAATTGTCAACTTTTTACTGATTGTGATGATGAACACCTAAATGAATACAAAGGTAAACAGAAGACAGAAATATCTTGTCAACTAAAAATCATTCATCGTGATTGTGCACATTATATAATGGCCAGCATATTAATGTCTGTTGTAAGAAAATAAAACATTATGAGATATTTATTATACTTTGAATTACTGGGCGAAAGTTAAGCCAATTTTTTTTTAGTGAGCATATGGTAAAAAATCAAGATCCCAATCTAATCAAGCAAGGCAATTAAACATTTTTTCAGTTCATTTTTCTAAATACAAGAACACCAACTGAACAATTTCAATCAATTTTTGCCTTGTTTCATTGTTGGTCAGTCACACTATGATGACATATACATGCAACAGGGTCAAAGTTCATATAGTATCAGGTCTTACCTGGAGGATTGTTCTTCAGATATCTGTTCTCCAAGCAGATATAAACTGTGTAGAATCCAATAACAAAGCCAGGGTCTACTGGCGTCTAAACATTCATATGACTCGCTCAGATTCTTTAGTCCTTTCAATAAGTAATGTATATGTCTGTCTTTATATAGTAGTGGGCTGTGAAAGCAATGTGAAATGAAAATACTTCTTCATAAATATATATTATTCTTACAAAAATGAACTGGAAAAGGAGAACATTGCTGTAGAGTAAATTAATTATAAAATAATTGTCATGCAATAGCCTCATTATAATATGTGTATTACAGTCATACTACACATGGGATACATCCATACTTATGACACATGGGATATAACCATACTTACGACACATGGGATACATCCATACTTACGACACATGGGATACATCCATACTTATGACACATGGGATACAGCCATACTTACGACACATGGGATATAACCATACTTATGTCACATGGGATATAACCATACTTACGACACATGGGATACAGCCATACTTACGACACATGGGATACATCCATACTTATGACACATGGGATACAGCCATACTTACGACACATGGGATATATCCATACTTATGACACATGGGATATATCCATACTTATGACACATGGGATACAGCCATACTTATGACACATGGGATACAGCCATACTTATGACACATGGGATATAACCATACTTATGACACATGGGATACAGCCATACTTACGACACATGGGATATATCCATACTTATGACACATGGGATATAACCATACTTACTACACATGGATTCAGTCATGAGACATGCAACCCTCAAAAAATTTACCCAATCAAAACAAAGTAACTGTCTATAAACATATCACGTACTTTGGATTAGCATCTGAATCAATTGAGAATCTTTCAAAGAGTTCACCAACTGATGCTTCCACTCTCTCCTATTAAAAATACAAAAGATATGTTACATCATATTTTAGTTAGATAATCTTTGACTGAAATATAATAATCTACCGGTATTACAGAAATTTAATCAGATGCAAGCACAACTAAACACTCCATAAAGAGTAACTTTATATCGTTGTATGGTATTAAAATTGTATATGACCATCTTGTGTCAATTTTGACAATGTGATGTTCTATCTTAGTCTTGGTTGAACACAGGAGTTTTCGAAAGCATATGAAAACTATAAAGTCTGTTTTCTATCAGGTTATTCTTTTTTATCTCAAATTTGAACTCTAATTAGCATAACCTGTTTCTAAATATCAAGAACCGTAAAATTGTATTTGGTTTTGTTTATGTCAAAATGACCACCAGACCGTGTTATACATATATGATGAGGATATAAAAAAAGGTATTTTTCTTATGTAACCTCATGAAACCAAAAATCGATTTTTCGGGGTTTATATAATGACTAGCGCATCACCACCACCATTACCATACATACTGTAAAATGACAAATTTTCACTGGGTTTAAATTTCACTGATTTACCATTTCAGGCATATTCAGTGGGTTTTAAATTCACAGTTTTATCATTTAGATAATGTCTTCTTTGCTAAATTTGACATATTCACTGGGTTTTAATTTAGCGAATTTTCCAGTCAGCGAAATAAGCAAAATTAAAACCCAGTGAATAATTAACCGCTTTACAGTACTTGGCATACAGTTCTGGGGCTTCTTGTGGTTCACGTACTTTGACGTCCTATGGTTATCTTAGTTCTATTTATAGTAACTCATAGGGGTATATTAAAGCGCGGTGGTCAGCACGCAGCACGTGTTCGAATTTCATGTAAATAAACACGGTATTTTACATGCGTTGTACACGTCGCTATGAGTCTTATATCGAACAAGGCACGATGACTGGCGCCCTTTAAAATATATAAACCGCTCAGCTGCGCTCGCATGCCAGGGATTGCCTGTTATTACATATTACTGTGGAATACTTTATTTTCGCTGGAATTAATTTTCGCTGAAAAGGCTTTTTGGGCGTTTTGTATGGAATTTATTTTCACTGATTTCTGATGAGTTTAATGTGAAATATAGGAAAAAAAGTGTATGCGTTGGATTATATTTTCACAAAATCATCCCTTCAGCGAAAATAAAGTATTCTACAGTATTAGTACGTCTAGACTGTTAAATAATGATTGTATTGTGCTTTGAAATTGGACAACAAATTTTGGATTAATATACATCTTTCTTCTAGAAGGAGTTGTTTTATTATTTTTGTCCATTAATATTCTGTTTTTGTAGATTAGTTTATTAGTTTTTTATTACTTCCTTATTAGTGTATTAATACTGTATTCTTTTACTATTATCTGTAATCATTGCCACTCTCTCCGGGGAGTGAGTAGTGTTAATAAATAAATAAATAAATAAATAAATAAAATAAATATACTAGTTGTATTACAAGGGAGTTCATTATCGTGCATTAAAAGTCTGTGGTCGTCGCGCAGCGCGTGTTCGACTTTCATTTAAAAAATATCTTCATCATATATGTCATCATAAGTAGCAAAATGGAAGCGCGTTTTGTACGTCGTTAGGAGTCCCATACTCGAACAGGACGCAGCGCGGCGACCACCGCCCTTTACGGTTATTACTAAGTAATACCGTTATATATTTGATGACCCTAGGTTAGTAATTGAAACTCGTCGAATATATACTCACCTGTTCAATCGAACTCGCTGTTGGGACTCCGTCCGCCACAAATCGTTGTTCTTGAAGTTTCTCCAGATCTTCCACACATCTCACGGGGAGCGCCATTTTGAATCAGAAGGCCACGCAAGACCCCCTAGGTGTATTGTCGAAACATCGGTTTCCAGAATATACTGGAAACCTCCTATCAGGAGAAGTGCATAGTGCGGGCGTGACTGCAAAATATTGTCGATTTGTGTATTCTATATTGAATGTTGTATATTCGTATTTTAACTTACATTTGGCTGTTCATTTTAAAAATACCTGTATATACTAAATTCACTTGAATTTTATTGGCCAATATTTAGTTCGCACGGTAGTGCACATTTGTGTATGGCAGTAAAGTAATGCATTGTGAACTAGCTTCATAAACTTTCATTAAAAACACAATCCATAGAAACATTAAATGACTGATATACTCTCAGCGAAACAAAGGCATTCATTTTTATAATCATTTAAAAAAATTCAATGGCATTTAAAAATGGACCAATGCTATTCAATTTATAAATGTTTATAAAGGGAATGCATTTGTTGAGCTGGGAGTAAAAATTGAAAGTGAAATAAAGATTTTATTATGTCGTGTCTTTCGGTGACGAGGTACTGGGGACGGTGATCGCTATCATAATATTTTAGTGTGTGCTCATTCACAACATTGTTTTTGGTTTTGTGGAGTAAAATAACACACAATTTAATTTTCATGTTATAGTGGATTTGTCAGAGATGCGAGTACAAGGATACGAAATTATTACCGTCTGTGTATTAATTTGTTTCTATGTTGTCAATTTAATCACGGAGAGTATATACTAGTACATCTGAGATTGTACTTGTACAAATCGTGTACCAGAATAGTAGATCAATTTAACTTTAAAGCGCGGTGGTCGTCGCGCCACGCGTGTTCGAATTTCATGCAAATAAACAATGTATATTACACGCGTTGTATACGACGACTGCCGCCTTTTAAAGAGATATTCAAAAGCATATTCGTAACACAGTCGCGAGGTGAGTGCATGGCCATGAGTGTCGCGCTATGCTAACAAACATTCCATATGCACATTTCGTTGATTTGAGCAAGTCGTTTGACAGTGACATAATGCTTTTTATCTAAAATTAATGGAATATGGAGTAAATGGTAAAATGTATAAACTTAAATCATTAAAAACATATATAGCGGTAAAAGTAAAAAAAAACAATTGGGAAGGCTTACAATACCATTTTTATCAAACTCCGGGGTGAAGCAAAGTGTAATCTACCGGAGTAAGCCCAATACTTCAATCTTTCAGGTATTTTTGATCAAAGTGAATGTAAACCACCTACCCTACTTTACATCCCATTAGCTACCTTCTCTACGCGGACAACATTGTGACGTTGAAACAAGAGGAAGCTTGTAGAATACACCAATAACTGGAAATTTACTATAAACTTTAAATAAAACGAAAACTATAGTGTTCAATAAATCCAATAGACAATAACCTATTTTTCTTTGAAGGGAAAGAAAATAATCAAACAATAAACGAAAAGGTAATTTTCTCAATTAAAACAAAATTGTCCAAATTTCCGTTATAATGCTATTTTTCAGGAAATATTAAACCATGGAGCTAACCATTTAGCTCCATGATTAAACCTTTATTTTTACTTTTGTAGTTTTATATATTCGCAGTTGTATTTTGTATGTCTTAGTTTTTGAGACCATACTGCTGTACTTTTTTCTGCTGATGAACACGTCATTTTGTGTAACGCCCTGCTATGAATTCGTGAGTCGAAAGTCTACGTTTACGAGAAAAGGTTGCTAACATTGTTTTTGATTTAGCCGAAAAATTTTGATAAAGTCTGGGTCAATTTTTAAACATGTATAGATGTAATGGTATATTTACCGAGCTTAATTTGTAGCTGGTGAGAAAAAATTATTAATTTAGTAAATGCTTTTCTGTGTTTTGGGTTTGTCATCTAATTTATCTTTTCCGTGTTCCCCCAAACGCTCAATTTTGTCGTGTGAGGGCGCTACAATACGTACAGTGGGGTCAAAAATCAGTATGGCGGCTACATTCATGAATGCGAATTAACAGAATTGCAACGTCATCGCTTTTTTTGTTCATTTGAAACATTTTGCACAAAACTGTCTAAAATAAACGTTTACGCGCCATGACATAATTAATAATCTCAAACAGATTTGACAAGGTGAATATAACAACACAACGGTCCCAACTATCGGTCGTCATGCTTTGCAAATAAATACGTTTATTCAAGAACACAACACTGACTAGAAATAGTACAGTAGTATGGTACGAAAGCCGAGAAGTACCGTCATCTGTAGTGATGAAACTTCATAGTAGTTTCTATCATTTGTGATAGAAACAGAATTGCACAGAATTGTTTTGCATACAGGTTATGGGGTGAGATCAGCGCAATCAATTATTTTTATATTATCTTTGCATTGTCTTACCATATTTATATTGTATCTGCATTTGAATATATTCTACCTTGGAAAAAGTGACCTAATAATATTCTACCCATGGACAAGTCCCTTCGTTGTGATCTACCTGGGAACAAGTCGCCTGATTATATTCTACTTTGGGAAAAGTGCCCTGATTATCTTCTATGAATTTTCATCACTACAGAAGACGGTACTTTTTTGCTCCTGCAGTTTGCAACAATAATAACTTGGAAGTTAGTAGTCGGAACTCGGAAGTTGGAACAGTGAAGTAGGAAAGCCCTTCTCGGTTTTCGTAGTATTATCTACTTGTTTTATACTAAAGCTGAGAATTTTTTGAAAACTAAAAAACAGAATTTCATCTGAAACGTTAACCAAAAACATAAAATTACATCAATTTGTTTCCCTGTATTTTTTTTATTTTTTTAGCAACTCATATTGAGCTTCATCACCAATTTCATTTTTATAAATACAACAGGAACGTTATTGTTGTGACCCTTTTCAAATGGTAATCTATGGTTTGACATTCTTGTATGTGTTATTGCACTTGGAAATATGTGACCTATAATTACTGTTGCATAGATCTAAAACTGATCAATCCATTCTTTGTTATAAAAAAAGCTAAAATTTGTATTTTCTGAAGCAGTTTGTTCAAGTACTCCACTTTTAATTGAATGTTCTCGTATATTAAAACAGTTATGAATGTATTTTGCCACATTAATATTTTTCATCTTTGCTTAGAAAATTAATAGCTTTCCATTGCTTTTGTTGTCAATAAATTGTTTTCTCAGCGTGCAACTGGTATTACAAATGTTTCTTATTTTCAATTTCATTAAGTTCACAAACTGAACATTTTAGCAGAGATTGGTTCTTTATAACATTCCAATTTCAAACTGTAAGCAAACTGTTATCCTCATTTTTGGACATTCCGGAGCAATATCATTTCTCTATCGAAAAATTCTTTGTACATTTTCAGTTTATTTTTATAATTTGTGCCTTTGTTGTCATTGTGCATAAATTCTTTACATGGTTTAGTTTTAAATTGTCTAATATTTTAATCACATCACATACCAAATTTGGCGTACACAAGTGATGCATTTTCAAATAAAGCTTGTGTTTTCTGGCATATTCTTCATTCTCATCCAATAATTTATCATGTGCTGAGTACTTTTCATAACAATAGGGTATTTCTAGTTCACCTAAACAATCTAGATTGGAAGCCCTGATATTTACTTTTGGTAAAAATGTGGTGTGAAGTTTATTTTATTGGTTCTGTTAAGTTGCTCAACTCCTTGAGTGTTCAATAATTTCATACAGTACAGGAAGACCAGTCAGTTACTGAATTTTGTATCACTCTTAGTCACATGACAATTCCCCCCCCTTCAAATTTTTGTCATATGCAAATAAGTAATCCCCATAGTTTTGTTATATGCATACACAACAACCTAGAGGTTTCTGGAACTATTCGGTGCACTGGCTTCTCCATTTCATACACAACAACCTAGAGGTTTCTGGAACTATTCGGTGCAGTGGCTTCTCCATGCTTACTACAGAGTACATGTGTCCGTTTACGCGACTGGCCGAAAAAGGTAGAATTTTCAGTAGTAGTTAGTTTTCTGCAGATTATACAACAACTTGCTCTCAAATGCGCATACTGCCTAGCTCTCGTCACAAATAACCGACAAAAAACCATAGTCAACACGAGTCAGGGAATAGAGTTCCCTTGTACACCATAATTATGGTGTCAATTTATTCAAATATATCCTTAATATATATATATATATATACACACAGTCATGGATACATCTTTTTTTAAGCCAAAGGTGGCTTTATTTTTTTACAACACTAAAACATTTACGTAACATTCAAAGTAGAAAACAAGACCAGCTATAATTCTATAAAACAGTTGAAATGCTTCGGTTTTACAAATATAATTGTCTAAAATGTCTGGGTTTAACAATGGACGACTGGCAGTCACTATACGATATATACACGTTTAATGTTGGAATTATCCAACAGTATAACACTTATGCACAGCACGGCTGTCCAAGTTTTACTAAGTGCATCAAATCGACAACCATTCGTTTAGTTTGTATCATATCAGTCCAGCTGTTACCGGCGTAGAATCAGGTAATACAATTCTCGGTTTAATATATGTACATCAGATTGTGGTTTACATGCACGTTACGTCTGTATACTATGTGGGTATGCTACGGCAGCAAAATAACCTTCACACGAACGCCATCCATTACCATCACCATTTTCGTCGCCAAAATGGATGTAAATATCATTGTCCAATTCTTTCTTCCAATCAGTACAAATCAAAAAACAGTGACGGTACCGACGATGTCGTCGCCGTAGTTTGGTTGTCACGGCGTAATGTCTAAGAGCACCTACTCGATATCCCACAATAGCAGGCAACTGTGTTCCCAGTATTTTGATAATGTTATTGGAAACGTTGTCACCGTACCATCCAAGTGACGCCTGCAAATTACCGGAGTTGTATGTCGATATGAACGCAGTGCTGCCTTGTCGCCGACGATAGAACCTCTTTACGTGGTCCATTTTCCAGTGTGGTGTAATGCTTCCAAGTAGACAGAACGTTCCCAATTTACGTCGGATCGATTCTACATACAGTTGTACAGTTGCATTTTGAGTAGGTGGCGCTACGCAGTCATCACTGCCGTCGGTGGCGTCCTCCCCACATCGCCATAAAGCCTGGGAAAATCCATACGACTCGTTTAGATGCGCTAAGCGATCATAATATCCGAAAATCATGGCCCATGCTACAGAGCCGCTGCCACTTCTGCACCCATCCATGCGATGCTGCCAGTAATTCGGGAACAGTTCTTCGTGCGTTATTTGGGACATAGTTGTGTGCCAAGGAAGACGTTTGGTGAACCTTTTAACGATCCGTGTGCGATGGTTTTCGCTACCTAAGTCAATACCAAATCTTTTTAAAACAGTTTCGCCATTATTATGGTGAATTTCCACCTGGAAACCAATGTCCGTTCCTTCGAGTAGCTTCCACAAATGTTGTCCATCTTCATGCAGCTGTAGAATTAAAACCCGCCCACCATATTCGTTGAAAATTGTGAAGTTTCCTTCGTTTACATATGTAAAATATTCACCAGTGCAAATGTCTCCAAGGGCACTACATAGTTTTCGTTGCCATGCAGATTTTTCCATGTCTGACATATTTGCATTAAACGGTAGGAACGTAACTTTGACTGTATCTGTCGCGTTGTTGAGTGGAATTTTTAATTTCTCGCCTATAATTGTATAAAAACAAAAAAATACGAGTAGTCTGTCATCATTGTAATAAAAAAAGTTCAATTCTTATGTCGTGGGGAAGAAGCTTACAACGTTTCAAAGATGAACAACCTACCAGCCTTAAATATATCATTCAAATTTAATGAACTTTTTAGTTATTAAATACAAGATTGAGTATTTACATTTACTAACCTGGTGACACAGCTTGCTGCGAGTATCGCTCATCCCGGGATAGTGTTTGTCCTCTCCCCAGAACAGTTATAGTTGACCACACATCCGATTGTATGACTTTACCTCGACGCTGTTTCCACATCCTTCGCACCCCGGTTTGCTGCTCGCGTACAATAGTCTCCATTTTAGACATTTTCATTGATGCATCCTGGGAAATAATAGTATTGGCGCATATTATTCAGATTCTAGGGCAGTTACGCAACTTGGTACCGACAACATGGTACGAATTAATACAGAACAAGGCGTTCAAGTTTATACATTGCAATCATGTAGATGATACATACCTTCCAATCAGATTCCAGTAAACGTTCGGTTGTCATGGCAACTATTCTGTCTTCCTCATCCTGACAATACATTTGTCCATCTGGAGATAGCATATAATAACGATGACATTGACATTTAATTAATGACGCATACTTGTCCAGCAGTGTAGTAGGACTTGGTAATGGGCCTTGTTGGTTAAATCTATAGTCACCAGTCTTAGCACTTGATGATAGGATTACGTAATCGGTGTCATTGACCTCGAGCTCCCAGTATGCTATGTAGTCTGCAGGTAGATCTTGGCGGTAAATTGGTCGAGGATTCCCTGAAATGAACATTACATCGTAATATGCAGGGACGTTCTCTCAAATGAATGTATAATTTGGTACATTCAAGTCCGCTATTATTTTCAAATAATCGTCAAGTTCACGAACACGAGTCATCAAAAGTTCTCAGTGCCGTGGGTCTGACCCCGATCGAGACACTAATTTATTACGGTTATGGGGCATTCCTTGTATGTTCCCTAGTTCGTTGCAACACTGTGGATATCAGACAGGGCTCTGACTAATACTATTACTAGTAGCGAGATTCGTTTACCTGTTATTTTGTATGCAGAGTGTTCTTGTAGTTCCGTCCACGTATCCAATGCTCCCCAAGTTAATGGGGTCGTCTCAAACTGGATATTCACAAGAAATACTTCTTGAAGAAAAGCCAGGCTGTGAAGCACGACGAAAACCCATCCATACTCCATGGCGACCGAAGCTACAGTGTCAATTCCAAAGTTAAGTCCGCCGTTCCATTGGGCTTGTTTTAAAAGCAAATGCACCTGTCGTCAATAACTACTGTGTCCTCATTGGATACAATATTTCTGTACTGGGTTGTAGTTTGTTATATAACCGTTTGGTTATGTTAATTTTAAAACAACAGATTTTCTTTAGAATCCAAAATTACTGCAGTCTACATGTTATGAATTTTCCGTTTGACAACTTAGGGATAAGCTGTAGGATTTTTGGAAAACAAATTTACGTGGGTGAAGATAGTACAATTACAAATGTCCAACACGACTGCATATTATAAATTAAATTGGGGGAAATGTGAATACAACAATATTGGTCAGGCATGTTTGAATACAATATATGCAAATAAGTTATTTATTTAACTTATATGCAAATAAGTTATTTAGCCCCTCCCCTCCCCAACAGATTTGAAATGTGTAAACCCTTCACCAAATTGAATCAGGATTCAGTTGAAAGATGTTATCTACCGTCACTTTAGATACATTATTGATATTTTCTATCTGAATCGTGTTTGTTTCATTTATCTATGAATTGTTCAGCCTCGACAATATATTCTGAAAATTGTGAACAAAATGTCCGCCAAGGCACGATGTGCATTTCGTACACGAACTCATTGAGAAAATAAATTTAGTTTAGTCATACAATATAAGCGACCATTTTAGTGAAAAGCATTCTTCGACTTTATATTTGTATGCTATCAAGCAAATGTTTTTTTTTCTGAAGTCTCTTGTAACTATGTATTGACACAAAAACATTGAACATTTCTGATTAAATTGAACGATAGTCCCGTATAGTTGCTCTACGTTTTAAATTTACTTGTTCCCGGTAGACAGACAAAAACACTATGCTATGTCCAACGTCAGTAACGTAACCAGAATTCTAGAGGAAATACATGATTCACATTTATGTGCATTGAGTATTCGGGCATGTACATTTATATATTAGGTTATCCCCAGTTGTAATACTGTATAAATAACCGGCATTATTTCTATTCTTTTCCTGGTGTATTTGTACGATATGTATTTTTTCTCAAAGCTTATTCTGAACTGTCTATGTTAAAAATACCGTTAAAGTATGGTATGTCACATGTGGGGGTGGAGATTCAATAAATAAACTCATATGGTTTCCCATTTCAGTCAAAATATGTCTAGTGTCACAATACCACGTGACTATATCGCTTACACAACAGAAACTCGACTAAAAAGAATAATAAATAAATGTTCAAGTTCTCAGGATTTTTTTAGAACAGGCTGCCCTTGACCAAAGAACGAATTCAATAAATTGTGGCAGAAATGTGAATCCATAAACAAACATTTCCGGAATGATTTATTTTTGATAACTCAAATATCATTTGGCAACTTGGCTACTCAAAATTAGAATTGACTGTTACTTATTTGCAACAACGTTACAAGGTGTAAATGGGTAATATAATTAAATCAACCATTTGTCATTAGGTATATTATAAAATAAATCGAAACTTAATTTATGGCGTGGCATGATATTTAACAAAACTTAATCAAGTCAGCCATTTTAAATCAGTAATTAGAACTAA